AAGAAGATCCAAAGCCTGAAACCAAGACCACAAGAATGAGAACTTCCCCGATGAAAAATATATGTGGAGTAGTCAGAATGAATCATGACCATTCTGTTGGGCAAGAGAGGAAGACCTAGAATCATCACTAGATGTACTGCAAGAAGTTTGAGAAGGTTGATATGCAGGGTAGATTTGTAGTCGGTCCAAATACTCTGGAATGCCCACCACAGAAGCAATGCACCTCATCTGTGAAGAGAAGTATCCATGGAGAGATGGATTTCCACATGAGGAGGTGGTATCCAGACCCTGATATTTGTGTTGTTCCTGTCAGCCACTACTAGAGATCTGCAAATTGTTCGAGCAAAGAGACTGTGTGATCCAAAGGATCGGTATGCATGAGCCACTGGCCATGAAATGATTACTGAAGAGATCTCATCTGGGCCTGATCCATTGGTATGAGAGGTTCTATGGAAGATCAAGTCCCCAAAACAGACAGAACCATCCATGCAGTGGGAAAAGGTGACATAAGCAAATGCCTGAAAATCCCATCCCTAGCGTGAAGCCTGAGAGGAGAAGGTTGAAGTGCATTGAAAAATAACCCATGATGGACCATGTATGGAGTTGGTGAGAGAATGGATTTTCCAACTAATATGAATTCCGCCCTTTTGGCTTCAGAAAGCAGAATCTGTGGATGCAGTGTGGCAACGTGACAGGTTGGTGCCAAATGAAGTCAATTTTCCAAATAGCGATGTGTGCACAGACCCAGAAAACAAAGATGCTGCTCTAAGGCCTGTACTACTCAGCAGAAATCATATTGTGCTGAAGCAAGTCCAAATGAGAGAGCTTGGAACTGCTACATTTGGTCCTCATGCAAAAAATGTAGAAATCGACAAGAAGACTCTGCTATGGAGATGTGAAGGTAGGCGTCTAACATCAAACTTGGTCATCCAAAGATCTGGTGTGAATCGCCATTGAAGTTGAAGAAAAGATTACATGGTGAAACGAGGAGGCTGTAGGAAGAGATTGAGTCGAGACAGATTGATGATAAGACACCAATCTCTAGTGTTCTTGGTCACCAGAAAAAGATGAGAATAGAATCCTGGATGAACAGGATCGACCTTCTGAATGGGCAGACACTGACACCATTGGCGCCATCACGACCTTCTGAAGATCCCCAAGAATATGGACAGAACTGATTATGTGAACCAATAGGATGAGGTGTCAAAGGTGGGGGCCGCGAGATGTGAATGATCGATCCTCCAGAATTACCCGTCGGATGCGAGAAGCCCATGATGATAAAGAAAACTGCAAACATGCTGTATAAAATCAGGCTTTGAAAGTATTAGGGACTCCAGCAAACTAGTAAGGCCAAAAAGGGGTGCCTCAAGGAAATCACAAAGAGGAATATCATAATACAGTAGTAAGAGTTAAATGAATCTATGAAAATGGAGATCTGGTAAGAGGGATAACAGGTTCTAACCTGAAACCCCATAGAAACAAAAACAAATCCATCTGTTAAATCACTAATTTTTACTAAGCTCCTCAAGGATACCCAATACAGATATTATAAAAACAGTATGTACTACATGTATAAAAATTTTATAAAATATTTTGATGCACAATAAAAAACGTATAATTTAAAAGTAACCAAACACAGTCAAAATATTATTATTGATCTAAAGTGTATCCATTTTTATATTCACAAGAGGGATCTCTGATCTAAACAAGGTTAATACATCTAATTTATATCTGTATATAAGTAACATTAAAAAGAAAAAACTGCCTGCTGTCTTCAAGCTAATTTTTGAAGTTATTATAAACATACAACAGCTCAGAAAGATATGCCACCACAACCAAACATACTATTATTTTCACACTGTCATTACATTTGTATACGGTCAATAGTGACTGGCCCTCTAGTAAGATACTGGTTTATTGTGGTGTCATATAATTTAGTAGTGATTATATAAAGAAGGATGTGAGAACTACATTTCTTTCTTTTTATTTCTTATGCATACTTAGTTTCTTGTCATGCTTAGATCATTTTGTTGTTATGGCTGAGAGTTTTGGAATTGTCAGAATTGTTTTAAGTTGTGGTCAGAATGACTTTTTTAATTGAAGTTGTGATAGCATTGAATTCTGAAGAAAATTTCTTGTAACTAAAGTAATTTACTATGATTGACTCAAAGTAACCTTACCAGACCTAATAGGCTAGGGTCGAGAAATCGGGTATCAACTGTGTGTTGAGTGGCAGGATGCCTAAATATGATGGTATTGACTGCCAGGTGTTCTCATTTCCTTACTTAGATGGGCTTTACAGAAGCATGACTTTAAGAAGTTTCTGACCTTAAAAGTTCATGGATTTTGTGTGACTTGATAAATCAAACTGTCAGCAAGTTTTTTATTTTTTGCAAACATGAATTTATGTTAAGTTTCATAAGTGGTATTATGTTAGAATTGATATTTACCATTGTTGTCATGTGTAGGATACCTGTAAGAGGTTGGAGAATATACACTACCATATTTGCCCAAATATAATGTGCATCCAAATTTGAAAAGTTAAATTGAAGAAAATCAGTTTTTTTACACATCAGTTCTACAAAATGTATTGACTAGTTTCTAAGTACAGTAAACAATTATCGATGTATTAAACATTTTTGGAAACTTTCCTTGAAATTTTTTTACGTGTCAATTTTACAAAATTTATCAAAAAGTTTATACGTAGTAATACACTAAGCTAATCATTTATCTTCATATAAATCTTTCTCATCACTAGAATTGTTGCTACAATTGGATTTGCTTCCTTGAACCTTTGCTTCATCCTCTTCTGATTCTCACAGCATGTCATCATCCATCCCATCCAATGCATTGGATATGCAACATATTTTGAAACCTTTAATGATTTTCAGTGGTAGCTTCTAGTAAAATATCTAACAAAATTGAATGTGCGTGGATATAATGTGCTGTCAAATTTTATGGAGGTATTTGGAGGAAAAAAAAGTGTGCCTTATATTTGGGCAAATACGGTGATTTTTTAGATTCGCAAACTGAGCATTAAATCTTGTATTGGATAGTAAATTTGTACTATACAGACAAAGAATTGTAAATAATCTGACTGACTCAACTGATTCTCGATTGTAAAGAACCTAAAGAAGTTTTACATCAGATTATTATGCCATTAAGAAATAGAAATGCACTATTACTAAAAATTATTTACAAAAGAATAATTCCATGGTGGACTGAATAAATTGTCAAGGAATGAGTATGATATAAAATTATTTGTAAGAATTACAGTAGAGCTAAACTGTTCAAAGTGAACTGCTAAATATGGTAATTTGTAAAAATGTTGATTCCATGTTTTATTATAGAAATGATAATATAAAATGAGCTAAGTGAGAAAGCTGGACATTTGATTTATTTATCAATTCTGTCATTTATTGCTTTTCAGGTAAGGATTACTCTTCCAGTGGTTTAAAGCACAGCAATAAAATTAAAAGAAAACATATATGAAAAAGGTTAACAGTGTCAAGTATTCAAATAAGTAATTTGGAACTTCCTTATCAAAAATGCAGTCAATACAAGAAAAAATTGCATTCTTAATTTTATTTCACATTTTTTCAATTCACTGCACATTGATGATTTCTCTAAAGTTAGTGTTAGTCAAGGAGAAATAAGAGAAAATATAGTTTTACCAAAAAAAAAAGAGCTTTTGGTATTCATTTAGGAGTTTCTATAGGTTATGCAAAAAAATATGAAACTGTAAGGTGAAAATAAATATTTTTATTCTTGGCATGAAAATCACCTTTCATACAGACTGACTCAGTAAAGCCTTTGGAAATTTACAGACAAATGTTTATTAAAAATAATGTATTAAAAAATATGTTTTTTTTTATGTACAACATACTTGTAATGTTTACTAAAAGCTTGCCAAATGTCATGAAAATACACAAAGTACATTCAGATTATATATATCATGTAAAGTTCCACATTTCCAAGGTTGATGAAATTTACAACTTCATTTTTATAGTGTTAAACCTAAATAAGCCCTTTGGCCATTGGTTGTTTTGATCATCTATGACTGTTGTATCAATGAACCTTAATGATCAGTAAGATTTAAGTACACCACAATATGTATGTTGGGTGTTTATTTGGTCAGGCTGCATGCACAATCACACAATCAAGGCTTCCTTTGACTTTTCCATTAATGGTCTAGGACACCCACCTAAATACAATTTTGAGGTTTCTTCAAAAATGTACAGCCCCAATAAAAAGCAGTCTTAATGTTATATTATATATAGTATAGCTTTTTCATTAGATACATGCACATAGTCTGATGGTTTTTTTTAAACAATCTGCATATTCTAGTGAATCCAAACTAAAACATAATTCAAAGCATACACAGAACATCACATACAGTACTTAACACACACACTGAGGAGTTTAAGTGTGCAACCATCAATGTGACTTTAACATGATTTTAAAATTAAATAAAATGTTTACTGAAAGGGAGGGGAGTCAGATGAGCACCCAATGGAGTCAAAAGGGTTCAAAGAACAATAATTCTGAAATTTCTGCCAGGTCAGTTATGTAAAGAACTTGAGTATATACATCCCTGAGACCTCTGTAGAATCAAACAACAAAAATATTAATTTGATATTTTACAAGTTAAATGTGGTAGCAGGCTATTTAACATATGGATAACTTTTAAACAGAATTTACACAATTTCATACACTAGAGCTTTATGATTTACACATGTACTAGGCCATTTTTTCACTCTCAGATTATTAATAAATAAAAAAAGAAAAAGACAATTAATAAGCTCAAACCCTGTCTCCTTAAGTATACTTATATCAATATTAGCTTTCTCATTTCTAAATGTAAAACGGTACTTTTAATTCCACCCCAGTATCACAGTGAAAGTTTTTAAAACAGTAGATCATATTTGCTGTTTAACACTACATTCAGTTTTTCTAAACTAGTATTTTCCCCAAAACCATATAAAAAAAGAAATACTCACATGCTCAGAACCAGTTTTCCTTAGGGAAAATCTGAAAATAGAAAGTGTTTATATTTTCATTTCTCAAAATTAAGCAGCACTCACCATTAATATTTATCTTCTGTTCAGTGTTTGTTCCTAAATACTTTAAAATATACTTTAAAGTAGTTGCACGTAACAAGTTTTGAACATTTAACTTTATCTAGACAGTGAAATAGATATTTAGATTTCAAACTTAAGAACAATTAAAACATGAAATTATGTAAGCTTCAATATACTTTCTAAGAGTTCTTACCTAAATCTTTATTACAGTTTGTGTATATATATATATATATATATATGCTGTATACATTGTAATATCTCAGATAAGAGAGTTAAACCGATTTTCTTTAATATATTCTATTCAAATTTTGATATGATTTAAAAACAATTATCCTTTCAGAAAAAAAATGTTTATATACAAAATTGACTGAAGCACAGGAGTAACTTTCAAATTCTTTACATTTAGACCTATCATGGGAAAAATTCATTTTTCTTCAACACTTAGTCAAAAAACTAAATGTCACACTAAGTTTATTATTGTAAAGAAAGTTATTATTTATTTTTGACATTAAACATTTTCATCTTTCTTTTGAGATAAAATGTATACAAAAAGACTACCTTAGGTT